GCCTGAAAATTTTATGAGGTCATCGTGTTTTACAGCTGAGTAGTACTCCATTGTGTACATGTACCACATTTCCCTTATCCATTTTTTAGTTGAGCGGTATCTAGGTTGTTTCCAGGTTCTGGCTATTATGAATAATGCTGCTATGAACATAGTTAGCAAGTATCCCTGTAGTAGGACTGCACATTGTTTGGGTATATGCCTAAAATTGGTATGGCTAGGTCTTGAGGTAGAATGATTCTCAATTTTCTGAGAAACCACCATATCTATTTCCAAAGTGGCTGTACAAGTTTGCACTCCTACCAGCAGGGGAGGAGTGTTCCCCTTACTCCACATACTCTCCAACATATAGTGGGGTTTTGTTTGTTTGTTTGTTTTTCTGTTTTGTTTTTTGAGACAGGGTTTCTCTGTGTAGCTATGGAGCCTATCCTGGCACTCGCTCTGTAGACCAGGCTGGCTTCGAACTCACAGAGATCCACCTGCCTCTGCCTCCTGAGTGCTAGGATGAAAGGTGTACGCCACCAATGTCTGGCAAGCTCATGGAGTACAGAGGTCAGTGTTAGATTTCTTTATCGCTTTCCACTTTCTCCTTTTGAGATAGAGCCTGGGGCTCAATAATTTGGCAGGACTAGCTTTCCAGCTAGCTCTGGAAATCCACTCGTCTCTGCATCCCCAGTGCTAGGATGATGGCATGCCTCCACATCTGGCTTTTTACATTGGTGCTGGGGATCTGAATTCAGGTTCTGAGGCTTATGTGGTGAGTGGTTTATCAGCTGAGCCATATTCTCATCCCCAAGTTCTGATTTGTATTTCTCACATCCTCACCCTTAGTTTTGGGCTTGCTGGGTTCCTAAATGTGTGTAGCAACCATTAAGTATGTGTATCTCTTAAATACTGAAGTCTATACTTTCCATTGCATTGGCTGTATGTTTTCTGACCTTGTCTCCAAATCAGAATAGAGACACTTGAGCACAGTGATTTTTTAAAAAAATGAGACTGAAAGGAATTGTGTGCTGTCTTCCTAGCTCTATTATCCTGGGGTAACATAAGACAAGGCAGTTATAGTTTTTACATGTAATGTTATCCATATGTATATGTGTGTGCTTATACACACATATATATATATATGTAGTACAATAAATAACAGACTTACAGACTTCGTTGTTCTAAACTGCTGTATAAAGATAACTCGTAATGAGCTATTACATATATACACACATATATATACATACATACATATATATATATATATATATCTCACCCACTATTTGTTATAGTGCCTTTGTGTTCTGTCATTGTTATTAGAGGCAGGCAGTATTTATTAGGCATCTATTGGATGTGTGACATTGAAATAGGTGCTGCCAAGGGCACTTATTTAAAGTGAAGCATTACAAGAGAGGAATAAGACTATTTTTCTTTGTAATGCACCATTCTTCCTTTCTCTGTGGTTTAGGTCAGCAGCTAGGTCAAATTACTCTTAATGTCCTGTCAGTTCTTTTAGGCTTCCCAGCAATTATGTGTGTACTCACCATGTGTTTTCAGATGGGCTCAAATGAGTGATATGACCTCCAGGTGGATTTGCAAATGTGATGTATTTAAATTGTAACACAAGGTAGGAAGCAAGAAATCTCTGTAACTTGCACCACTGATGGCACCATAGAACACTTTCTGAAAAAGGGGAAATTCCATACGTATCTTTTGTGTGAATTTAATTGTCACAAAAGCTTCTGCTTTCACCTAAGCCGGGCGTTGCTGGCGCACGCCTTTAATCCCAGCACTCGAGAGGCAGAGGCAGGTGGATCTCTGTGAGTTCGAGGCTAGGCTGGACCGTCAGCCTCCAAAACAATACAGAGAAACCCTGTCTCATAAAACCAAAAAAAAAAAAAAAGCTTCTGCTTTCACCTCAATATTTATGCTATTGAACTTAATATGCCTTGTAAATATTTGTAGAATATCCTTGAAAATAACCCAACAGTGGTGGTTTGACTAGGTATGGCTATGCCGCCTATCTCATATATTTGACTATTTGGTTCATAGAAAAAGTAAGAACCTTGTCGTGGAAGCTGTAGTGTGACAAGGTGAGTCACAGAGAAAACCCTTTATCCATGTATCTTTACTTGCAAGTGTTCATTGCAAAGAGTCATTGGTCTGGTTCGAAGCCTCTGGTTTCTGCCACACAACTGATGCTGGATATACTGTTGGTGCCCTGTGTTGTGGAGATCCTGCAGGTTTGTGTCTGCAGAACCAGTCCTTTCAAGTGCTCCCATAAATCACAGATGGGGTGGATATTGGGATTGGCCAACTCATAAACTTGGTTCTGGGCCTGGGTAGTTGCAGGATTAGTCAGCTCACTATTTCTCCCCTGTTCTCCCCACCAGGGTGAGCTTTCCATCACTGCCCTGGCTAGTTCACTCCTTGCAGCCATGAGCAAGGGGCAGGGCCGGTTTTCCTGCTTTCACACCCTCATGGTAGGTTCTCCCACATGTGGACCATTACAGTCAGCTTTGCTGTGTTTCCCAGGTGAGGTGCAGGGGCCACTCTCCTGAGTGCTGCAGCTGGTGAGGGTCACAGTTCTCCCACTCTTACGACCTCAGGGCCAGATTTCCCACCTACCACAGGCAGCAAGCAAGGGGCATGGGGCATCTCTCCCCTGCCCACACTGTTATATGGCAGATGAGGGATGGAGCCAGATCTCCCAGCTCACTTTCTAGGGCTGGTTCACTTGCACCCTGTCAATAGGGTCAGCTCTACTGTATTGTCCAGGTGAGGAGCAAGACCGTCTTTCCTGAGTGCTGCAGCTGGTAAGGGAGGCTCAGCTCCCTTGCCCATCACATGTGGTAGGGGCAAGGAGGGGGATCCTTTTCATTTCTTGAGTGTTGGTCAGTATATATTTTATAGTGTTAATTTCCTTAATCTTTGGATTTAGCAATGAACTCTCAGAGGTCATTGGTGGCATTAAGTAGAAAGTCACCAGCCCCTTCTGTAGTCTTTCTTGCTTGGCCATGAGATACCTGACTTTACTCTGCTTTGTGCTCTTGCCATGATATGTGGCCTCAGCATAGGCCATGGGCTAGGAACCCTTAGTCTATGAGCTAAAGTAAAGCTCCTTAAAACTTAATTAGGTTTGTCATGTTCTTAGAGCAACAGAAAATGCTTACAATATCTGAAGACCTTGATGATCCTTTTAGGATGAAAATATTATAAGTCATCATTTTTATACTCTGCTCAAAGTTTCTTAGAATCAGAACTTCCACATGTAGAAGGTTTCCATGTTATATCCTTGGGCAGTGACAGGAGAGCTATTGAATAAGGAATTTCAGAGTGACAAGTACATAGTAGCCATCACATCAATAAAATGCACAGAGTCCTTCTACTTTACATAGAATAGAGATAATCCTGGTATTTATGTTTTCTGTGTATGCTCTGATTAGCAGACCTACTTTCCTTGCTTGGGAAAATATCCTGAGGAATGTGATAACCAGAGAGATCTCAGGTGGTATTCTACTTCACCTCCACTTACTGGCTCAAAAATGGGTGTGAATAACAAACCCTCACTGTTGAATGGGGAGCTGTGCTACCTGAGTTCTAGTCAGGAAACAGCAACCATATGAGTTATATCAACAGAGAAAATTAAGCATTAGAAAACATAAGTTTTATAAAATTTACATAAAAGAGATAAGAGAGAAATAATAAAAATCAAACAACATGATATCATGAAAATACACCAGAAAGCAGTAAAATGTGATGATTAAAATGAGATGATTGGAGTAAAGCCTCTGCAGAGCCTAGGTACAGCCTTCTGCAAAGGGTGGGTTGGTCTCTCCAAGAGAGCACAATGGGGCTCTTTTACCCCCGGACACAGCATTTATCTGTGTAGCCCTAGCTGTCCTGGAACTCCCTTTGTAGGCCAGGCAGGCCTTGAACTCACAGAGATCTGCCTGCTTTTGCCTCCCAAGTGCTGGGATTAAAGGCATGGCACCACCATAGCTAGGTTAAGGCTGACTCTTTATTAGAAAAACTATAACCTTGAATCATGAAGAAAACTGAAATAGTAAACCGGAAGGAAATATGGCTTCCACAGCTAAGAAATAGTACCATGAAGATGCTGAATAGACAGTGTTAGTATTCAGGCATCTGTACTGGCCTGTCCTTGGGGTTCTGACAGAACACACCCTCAGCTGCAGTCACTAAGAGCACCACCTGTGCATATTCACTATGTTCCCTTTAAAAAGGGTTCTGACTATCTCCCACCCTCCCCTCACCCTCTCCCTCTCCCTTTCCCTCCCTCTCCCTCCCTCTCTCTCTCTCTCTCTCTATATATATATATATATATGTACATATATATATATATATATTCTCTCTCTGTTTCTCTCCCTGTTCCCCTCTCTCTCCCCTTCTTTTCTTTATCCTCTCTCCTGCTGCTCCTTTCTCTGGAGACTGATCTCCCTCCCCCTTTCCCATTTTTATGATCCCTTTCCCTAATTAAAAAAATAAAACTCGTCTGCTTCAACCCTGTCACATGGCATCTTTCTCCCATGTACCGCTTTGCTTAAATTTACAACAGACCTGGTCAGGTCTTCTTCCTCCTCAAGCTTGCAGTCTTTCTCTCGTGTTTCAGGTGTCAGAGCCCAGTCTAGAGCTGGTAAAGTGGAAATGTGGTCTGAGCAGTGTAAAAGGAGTTCTTAACCAGTCAGATAATAAAAGGCTGGAGTCAGATACAGAGGTAAATGCTGAGAGAGCAGAGAGAAGGATCAAGCCACAGGACACCTTACTTCATAAGCATCTCCACGGATGTTTGTCCCTGATTATATCCTATTACTGCCCAGCTATGTCACTTTCTGCTGGTCTGTACAGACCTCCTGATCTCTATGGTTAGCTAGTGGCAAGCTCCATTCTCTGACCCCCAGAGATATTTTATTTGTGCAGCAGAGAGGCAATCATGAGCACAGAGTGACATTACTAAGCCCATCAATCGGTTATCATCAGTAACAACCACAACTTACATGAACAGAGTAGTACAGTGACCAGCCTCACGATCGGGTGGGCTAAACTCATCAGCTTTGCATTTGTTGTCAAGTTCTGTTTGTGCCATCTTCTACCAGACAAGTGTCATTGTTGAAGATGAACAGTTCTCCTTTGATCTCTGGTTCCTTCCTTTAATCTCTAACTGCAGCCCGGGAGCATTCCTATGGAGAGTTAGGCTCTGGAATTAGCTAATAATCAATTATGAACCATGGGCAAATTAATTGTTATTTATGTTAGTTTATATTACATGAGAAGGCACATGCAATTCTTAATTCATACCCTACTAACATGCACTTAGCTCTATTAGCTGTTGTTGCCATCATAATCATCCTCTTCCTCATCACTCACTATCAGTACCCCAAACACAATCACCTCCACCACTGTCTTCATTTAATGACTGTGGAGAACTAACAACAAAATGACTTCAACATTTAACCTTTGAACAGCCAGCGTCATCCAAAATCACAAGGTATGTCCTTGGATCTCTGAAACTTTCATTGCAATGAAAAGCAGATGCAATTCTTTATCTCTTAGCTATCTTTCCCAGTTTCAGTTCCATTAGGGTTCCCATTTTTCTAATCTTTTAGCTGACATTCTGAGAGAAGACAGTATTACCAATTTGGTCTTTCATTAGAGGGGCTGCTGGGTTCTGCAGCCTCTTGTGAGTTCTCATGAGTCAGGGATGAGCCTGTGAAAGGCCTGGAAGGAATTCAAGAAACTATCATGCTGCTCTCCGGAACTCAGGGTTTCTGAAGCATTCCTGGCACCCACTTGCTCAGGGATATGAAGATTGTTGCTAGAAATTCAGAGTGAGGGTTCTGCATGATAATGTGGTACATCATTGCTGGATCCCAAGGCAAGCTAGGGACATCCTGGATCTTATGCATTATGCATGAAAGGCTGTAAGAAATAAAGGATCAATCATCTTCTCCCTCAGATAACATCGATCATTTGCTGCACATTATTTGGCTGGTCTCCGTGCAGATTTATTTTCTCCAATGAGAACAAGATGCAGATTGCCTGTTTTCTTAATGAACAATGACATCAATCTAGCCAAATCTACCTAATATATTGGATGGCTTTTTCCTTCTCTCTCGCTCTATCTGTCTCTTTCTCTTGCTGTCACTCACTCTCACTCTAGGTCTCTTTCCCTTCCCCTCTTCTTTCTCCTCTCTTTCCCTCCCCTTTTCCTCCTTCCCCTCCTTTCTCTTGTCACCTCCTTATGTCATGGTTAGAAGGAACATGGACAGCTTCTGGAGAGTGTGCCAGCTCTTGTGAGGGTGGTGACAGAGTGGGAAAATTGGGTCTAATTCAAGGTGATGAAAAGTCTCTTTCTTTACTTTTTTCCCTTTTTAATTTAAAACAGTGCTCCACTCTTCGTTTTTCCAGATGGTTTATGCTGAGAAGCTGATCCGCAGAAAAGGCCAAGTGAAAAGTCACTCAGACACATGAAGGGAGGAAGATGGCATGGAGAATGCATGAATAGGTAATGATGCTCGGGTGCTACACAGGCGGCAGTGGCACAGCCCCTGGGGATGGAGCTGCCCATCAGAAAGCATCAGTCCCAGTACGCCAATGTCAATACAACTACTGTTGATAACAATGGAGTCCTTTGCCTGTATCCTTTGAAACTAACTTTAAGCCTTTCTTCTCCTTATATAGTGTTCTTATTGTGCTCACCGATCAGCAGCCCTCTGCATCTCGGAAGGAATGGTATTTAGGACCCGAGAAGACAGCATGCTAACCCCTCCCCTAATTAGACATGCACCTGTGATGGGGGGGAAATGTCCTTTTGCATATGTTTCTCTTATTGGCTGATGAATAAAACACTGTTGGGCCAATGGCCAATGAAGCAGTAAGAGAGAGCCCATCAGAAAAGTTGCAATATAACAGTCAAAGGAGTTGTATGTCCAGCATTCTCCAGTAAGATAAGACCATGTAGAAATACATAGATTAGTAGTTATGGGTTAATAATTAAGATAGAGCTAGTGAGTAATAAGCCCAGGCCATTGACCAACAATATTATAATTAATATAAGTATGTGTGTTCATTTGGGGTAAGGCGGCTTGGAACCGGGCAGGAAATTTTGTAACACACCTGCTGGCTAAGGGAGGCAGAACCTTTAAAAATTGACCAACTGAATCTGGGCAGTCGGAGGTTGTTGGAACATGTTCTCTGTGGCAGTTCTTGGCACAAGCGATCATACTGCAGGCTCAGGTCCAGGGAAACATTGCCCAAATTTGGGCAGTGAGCCGAGCAAGTGGACTCTTACCTTGTTAACTTTATGTGCCATCTTGATTGAGGTCTTCCCTGCTCTGAGACCTTCCTGAACCAATCACATTCCTTTCGCAGATCTGTTAGGAATAACAGACTCATGTTTTGTGCTCCAGGCGTCTCACTGTTCAAAAGCTGGGGATCTTTAGGAGCCAGGGCCTGGCTTGTAGAAGTAAGATGCTGGGGGTTGGGGCTCTGGAGGTTAGAGCCCAATGCTTGGTTCCTGACACTTTTTCTGACTGTTGGTCCACTGTCATATGAGTAGCTGCTACGGCAGCATGTTCAGGCCGCCATGGGAGTTCGAGCCTCAATGCCTGGTCTTCACCACTCCTGTGATGAACTGGGACTTCAAAGGCTAGTGAGCCTTAAGCTCCTCCCCAAGCTGCTTTGTCAGATATTTTTGTTACAATGACACAAAGGTAACAACAAGCTGTGGAATCTTTAGGAGATGGGCTTCCCTGGCAGAAGTAGGTCATGGGGGCAGGATTACTTTGGTGCTTACAGCCCAAATCCTGGTTGCAGCCTCTTTTCTGCTCCATCCTGAGATTAACCTATTGTGTGGGTAGTTCAAGCATAAGGCTGTGTTGATTGATGATACTCATTTGTAACTGGCTCCTAAATCATGTTTTGATTTTTCTCCAAGTATAAAGTCTTACATTGCAAATATTAAAGTCATGTCAGTATGTGTAGCTGGTTTCTATAAGCTGTCACTGTCTCTTTAAATTTTATGAACTGCAGATTCTATTACGACAACCACCACAACAAAACCCAAAAGCTACAACCATTTTAAACCTCCTATTTCTGAAAGCTAGCTCTGACACATTCAGCAAAGATGTCTGTGCTGTGTTTATTTTCAGCTTTGCCGATTCGTGGAGCATAATAGTACCCAAATGTGCCTTTAGGAGGCAAACTCTTCCAGGCAAGGGCTGCACTCTTTGTTTTGGCACATGCTACCTATTACAGGGCTGGCTGTACACCTGGGGCTGTAGATAAATAATAACAACTCGGGAGCATGTCTCACTGGGCGAGCCGTGTGGGCCCTTTCAGGCAGTGTGTTAGTGTTCAGGACAGAACATCCCCGTGATGATTTGACTTGGTATCAGAGATGCTGGTCTCTCTGCACCTGTCCCACCTGGAGCCTCTTTGCCGTTTGCTGCCTTTGTGCTGCCTTAGGAACCACTGCTGAGAAACTGCATCTGGCCTTGCAGATGTGGCTTGCCTGAATGAATGTTAGATTTTGACCCCTTAGAAAGCCCCTCCCTCGTTTCCCTGTCTCAGGGCCAAACCCCTCCATATCCTATGTGTCTTAAAATGTGAGTCCTGATGAAAGCTAAGAAGAGGGAGAGGGTAATTGATTGACTTTCTTTTCCAGTAAAATCAATCTGTAGAAGATTTTAGAGAAGAAACTTTGACATATGTCTGGAGAGGTGGGAATGGGGTGAGGATGGGATGGGGATAGGGCGAGGATAGGGGGAGTCTCATCTTTCTTTAGGGAGCTTTGAATGGAATGATTTAAATATATCAAACCTACATAATATCATCTGCAAAGTAAAAAGAAAGGAATCCTGGTCTGCACCAATGGATTTGAAAACAAAGGTGTCTGCTTTGGTTGCAATAGAATTAGATTACCAGCATTCTCTCAATTGGTGCTTTTTTGTATGAGTTAAAATGGATCTTAACTAGGGCATAGTGATGCACACCTGTAATCCCAGTGTTCTGGAGTTTGAGCCTGAGGGGCAGAAGCTCATTTCCATCTTTGGCAGTATACCTGAATGTTACACTGTTCAGATGGAGAGGTATCCTGGAGCTTGGCAGCCAAGGAAAACCACAGGTCACAGTAAGTGTAGCAGCTTACAATCCTGCTTCAGGGAAAGGCTTCCCCAGTGTATCAGCTTTGCTCCCGCAGGAAAGGGTTTTCCCCGTGAAGTTGCTATAGTTTAGCTCTGCTCCTAGGAGAGTGGAGAGTGGAGTGTAACAGCTCTGCTCTGCCAGGGGAAGGTTTCCCCTGCAGAAGAAGGTCTTCACCTGAAACTCATTCAAGAGGTTTATTGGGAGGGAAGAATCCAGGAGAGTGGCTGCCTCTGCCAGGGTAGAAGGAGGCAGCCAGACAGCCACAAGCTGAACAGACACAGAGTTTATATAGGGATTCTTGGGGGGGCAGTTTTTCCAGGGTGAGGATTGGTCAGATTTCAATCCCTGATGGCTAGATATGCCCTTGGTTAGTTTTCTGCATAAATTTAGGGTCAGATTTGGCTCTGGTTTCAGGGCCAAAGTGTGTTTCTTGCACTGGTCCTTTTTAGCTTCTGGCTTTAGTTTTAGGACTAGGGTGTATTTCTTTTACTGGCTCTGATTCCAGGGACAAAAGTGTGTTTCTTTGGCACTGGCTTCAGGGTCAGGGTACATTTCTTTGGTTCTGGTTACAGGGCCAAAGTGTGTTTCTTTGGCTGGACCCTTTTTCCTACAGGTACAATGTCATGATTCCCACTGGTCTGACCTTGCTCTGAATTCATGGAGTACTTGCAGTCCTCCATGCTGGCTTGTGGTAGGAATGGCAATGAAGGAGACCACTTGTCATGTCTGTGTGCACATACTACTCACATTTACCCACCTCCTCTTTCCTTCAAGTTCTGGTAGGGCTGGGCCTTGTCACTTCCTTTTGAATCTGAGGGACATGTTAGTCACATTTCTTCTTTCCCTTCCCAAATAACACAGAAGAATGCTCTAGTAATGCCTGTCAAGGCCCGAGTTTGGCCAGAAGTAAAGAGGTGCTCTACCTTACATTATACAAAAGTGTTCTCATCTTAGTTGGTTTCTGTCTCTCACACATGCTCTTTCAGATGGCAGCAGAAGCAGGAAATGGAGGGCTGTGGAGGCAAGGTAGAGGCTGGCACAAATGCTTTGTGACTGGACCAGGTTCTTCTTTCTCTTATCTAAGCCCTTTTACATCACAATTGGATGTAGAGGCTTCTTCCAGTGACATAGTCACCCTAGTCACCTTTCACTGTGTTTGCCCACTGTTCTCAAAAATCAGTAAGACTCTGTCTTACTGCCACCAAGGCTTAGGTGGTCTACCTCCTGTGAGCATCACCTGCCTGCAGCTCTTAACCTCGGGTTTGACTTGTTTCTTCCCAATACGGGGCCATGGCAAATGGGGTTTCATCTGCTGCAAGGACTTGTGTTCCTTCTCAGGTTAGTCACAGTTTCAGCTTCACTTCTGCTTGTGTGATTGTTGCTTGGTCTCTGGCCCTGGCAAAGGACTATGAGATCTGCATGCTAATTCTGCAGGTGAGTCATTTACTCTAAAGGTCCAGGGTAATGTCTGAGGAGTGGGGATGAATGCAAAAATGAATGAGTGGAATACATGCTGTTTCACCTGGACCTCCATGGGGTTATGAAAAAAGGAGATTCTAGAAAGCAATCAATAGCAGGAAAACCTGGATGAAGAGACCTGATGAATGACGGGGTAGCGTTGAGGTTCAAGGGAGAATGTTGGGGGGTAATACAACACACATTGAGCCTCATGTCCTTTGGCAAGGTTAGATATAGGCTTGTATATCTTGTGAAACTGGGATTTTATACAAGGAGTAAATCTTCTGAAGATTTTCAAGAAAGCTGGCATTACAAGATGGACACTGCCTGTGTGATAACATGGGAAGAGCCTGGGTAGCTGGGAACAGCTGAGGAAGTGATTGCTTACTCTATGGAAGACATGATAGCTTAGGTCTAAGGCAGAAGGGTAAATTAGAGGAAGCCCTGGAGTTTGCAGTGAATGGGGTCCTCAGGGGAGGAGAATGGAGAGCGACAGTCTTGTAAACTAGTGGCAGCTGCACTCTCAAAACAGCTTGCACTGATATTCACACCAGAGTGGGAAACATTTAACTCCATGAGAGACAAGCAGGCAGGAGGAGGGAGAGAGGAGGAGAGGGAAAAGGACAGGGAATCAGCATGCTGGAGAACAACTTGTCAAAAGTGGGGTGAAAGGTATCTGTATTGGCTCCTGTCCATCCAGAATGTTCTGGCTAGAGGTCTTCTGGTTCAGTGCCTACTTGTATTGTCTGTTTTGGTTAATTTGGCCAATGGGGGGGCGGCTTCTCTGACTCAGCTGGTAGTGGGAGTATTGGGCCCTCAAATACTTGCAGAGTGTCCTGTTTAATTGGGTAATTTGAAAAGGAATTCCATCATTGTTGAAATTTCATTGGAAGACATTTGGGTCATTCAGTTGCTGCTTGGATATATCTTACTAAGGGCTAAAGGAGGAAACAGAGACATACATGTCAACACAGGATTGGCTGAGTAGTTAATGCCATCCAGAGGTTTTCAACCTTATAAGCTCTGAAAATTTTAAATGGAGCTTCTGTGAGAGGTGTGAAACCTCAAGCATGCTTTAAAAAATGTGGTGGTATCTCAGAAAGAGGAACCATAGGGGCCAAGAGACATGCACAGGTTTCAGCTCATAAAGGGAGGGATAGAGTGAGGGAGTGTGTTGTGTGTAAACTCTAGCTGTGTTGTAGAAAATGAAGTAGAAGAAGAAAAAGTAGGGAAATCAATAGGATGTTCTTTGTTTTCTCATATTCCTACGAATACCTCTATTTGTTGTCAAATGAGAAGTACAGTGGTACTTACCTCAGGAGTAAATGGGAGAATTAAACATAGTAAGTTAACAAAAGTAAAATGAGGGCAACACTGGGCAGAGTAATACCAGTATGTATGAGATGGAGGCAGAATGGTCACAAGTTCAAGGTCAAGACGCTGTTAAATGAAACAAACTGGAAGGTATATGTGGCAAAGAGATTACACATACATGTGCACACACTTACCATTATCATATTCTTATCCACTGACCCATCCCTCCAGCCCCTCCATTATCATATTCTTATCAATATCCATGTGAGCAATGATAGCTGCTTAAATTTACATGAGAAGGTAAAGGGGGGCGTCAAGAATGGCCCCAATGTTTTGAATGTTATGAAATCGTTGGGGAATGATGGGTAAGAAATGCAGAAAATTGCTCTCTTAGCCTCAGATACAAGACTGAACACTTCATGGGGTGTGCTTTCAAGGTGTCCAATTGCAGTGACTTAGACACGTTGTCCAGTTTCTCAACTACTCTAAGATTCATTTTCTTTACCTGTGAAAATGACATGATAATAGTGTATCCCTGTGTAGCTAATACAAATTGACTATGTAATCTCAGCAAAAGAGAATACAAGTGTACATAAGTATGTAAAAAATAGAACTTGTGGAAGCACTCCACTTTAATGGGGGTTGTGCCTCTGTATATATGTTTCTCTTATTGCTTGATAAATAAATCACTGATTGGCCAGGCAGGAAAATAGGTGGGGCTAGGAGATGAGTAGAATTCTGGAAATCATAGGCAGATAGAGTCACCATGTAGCCTGCCAAAGGAGTAGAAGGTTCAAACCCTTCTCCAGTAAGCCATTACCACATGGAAATACGTAGAAATGGGTTAATAAGACAGAACCAGCCAATAAGAAGTCCAAGAAACTGGCCAACAGCTATATAATTAATATAGCATCTGTGTGTTTATTTGGGGCTGACAAGGGTGAAAGGACCTGTTGGGCCAGAAACATTCATTCAACACCACTTAATTGATGAACAGAGCTCTAAAACCAGCATAGACGCATAGGATCTAGTACTGCCTGGACTGACTGGGAACCACATAGCTGTCCTATACTTTTTGATAACAGAAGTGACATGTGTGTTTTTTCCACCCAATGCCTGGAGTCAGAAGTTGACTGACTAAAATTCCAGTAAAATAGAGAATTAAAAATATATTTTAAAACCATTCAACTTAAAACATATAGGTGCATATTTCCTGTCCTGTGTTCTGAGACAAACAAAGTTGACACCTGAAAGATGAATGAATAGTGTGAATCATGTCTGGGACTTTTATGAGGCTAAAACTGTGCTTACCTCTCTGCTTCTATGGTCACTCTTCTTGAGACACCACCACTAAAGCATGTTTGAGCTTCACACCCAAAATGGCTTCCAAAGAAATTTCAAAGTGATGGGGGCCATCACTGTGACCAATGTGATGTTATCTAGAAGATAAAAGATGATTCAGTTTTTGCAAAGATACCTGAAATAATTGTTCCAGGTTTTTAAATCATTAAAACACCTTAAGACCAATGTGATACAAGAGAAAAGTTGTAATAATGACTTTAGTGCTGTTATAACCTAAATACCTCATTAGAAGCAAATGGACATCGGAAAAGCTTGTTTTGACTCCTGAGTTTAAGCTGATTTCAGTGAAGAAGGAGGCATGGTGGTGAAGCAAGAACATGTGGTAAGGAATTACTGTTCACATCATGGCTGCAGGAAGCAGAGAACAATCAGAGGCAAAGGCTGGGCGATAGCCATTAAAGACTGCCAAAGTGGGCTTCTTTCTGCCAGTCTAGCCTAACCTCCTGGTTCCATTATCTCCTCAAAACAGTGTTGCCAGACAGGAACAGCTTAAGACCTTAAGATATGGGAGTGTGGGGGACATTTTAAATTTAAACTGTAACAAAACTCAACTTATCTCAAGGAAGGAAGCCACAAGCAGAAGTCCAGACAGATGCCCAGCTAATTCCAAGTGTCCCACTCTAGACATCATCTAACTGTAGCCTCCAAAGACCAGAAGAAGATAACCAAAGATTTCCCAAATATCGATCCAATTAACCAAATCAAATCATCATTACTGTCTTAAGGATGTGTTATAACCATGTGACAATCCATGGTCCCTGGAGGAGGAGTGCTGTTCATATATGACAGCCAGGAAAAAGACAGAGTGAATGTGGAGTCATTTAAGAGCACAATCTCCAGTAGCCTACTTCCTCCAAGTAGGCCCTACCTTCAAAATTTCCAATACCTTCCAGTATTGTTAGCCCTTCCCCGTGGATTAATCCACTGACGAAGCCAGAATGCTCATAACCCAAGCACTTTCTCATAATGCAACCAGCTGTGAACTACAACTTCAACATTTGAAGTCTTGCTGGGGGTGGGGATGTCTCACAGCCAACTTAACAATGGCCCTTCTTACTGCTTTCTGGTTCCATGTGGTACCTCTGTGGTGAGAAGAAACAGGATCACTAGATGTGTCTACTCTTAAAGGACTAGACATTCCTTTGTTGGATAGTTTATAAATATACTCCTTACCCTCTCTACCTTTTTGATAGATATTTATAGGTGTCTAGAGGTATATTTTATTTCTGGAGAACTTCTCCTGGTGTATCTCCTATGCTGAGCCAATCACACTCAGTGAGAGCTCAAAGGATTTGGTGCCCTCTGCTGTTGTTCTGCTTGTAGATTTAGCTAAGTGAATCTCACTTTTAGGTGTGTACTGTATTACTACTGAGCTTTACACTGAACGTTCATGTGCTTTACAAGGTGGGGTCTAAGTGTTGAAACACTCTAAGGATTTAGATAGTGGCAAGCGGATCAGTAGTGGCAGAATGGAGGTCCCTTTCACTGTTAGCTATGAAACACTGCAGCAGAAAGAGCTCCCTGGAAGCTGATCCCCTCTCTTAACATTTCAATGGTAGAGCTTCACCTTCTCAAGATGTTCTGAGGTTCACTGTATGCCAGATAAGCTGGGCCCTAGGGATGTGAAGTTGAATAGAATGGTCTCTATTCCCAAGGGTTTTCCAAGAGAGAACAAAGTAAGAGAAGCTGGCCACTGTGAATGTAGGACAAGGCACGGATTATCTGTATAGAAGACACACACGGGAAGAGGAATGAAAGTCAGAATGTCAGCCGAGGGGACATGGCAGGACTGAGATCTGAAGATGAAGACAGACTTTAATAGGTAAAAAGGGGTGAATCCGTTTTTGGAAGAACCACTTCTGGAAATGTAGGGGTGGGCGTTTCCTACAGATTAGAGTTGTAAGATGGGGCTGGAGGTGCT